TAGCCTGCCTCGGGATGATCGTTAGGTTTTGGAAATACTAATTTTTGAGCACCACTTCCCTCAAAGAATCTCTGCTAGCCTGCCTCTAGATTCAGCTAGATTCTATAAGCACGAATTTTTGAGCTCGAGCATCCTCAATAATCGCTGCTAGCTTGTCGATCTCGAGGATAAGATGATTTTTCAGTTTTGAGCTTCAGTTTCCTGAAGAATCTCGGCTAGATTGCCTCGGGCTCAACTCAAACTTCCGCAAAATCTCTGCTAGCTTGCCTCCAGATCCAGCTGGATTCTGTAAGCACTAATTTTTGAGCACGAGCTTCCTCAAAAATTTCTGCTAGCCTGCCTCATGATTAGCTCTATCCTTCATAAAAATCTCACCCTTGCCCTGTCCAACCCAGTTCAAAGCCTAACCTCTCCCCTTCCCGCTAGCTAAAGAGAGTGGGAGTAGTGGCCAGGCGGTGTGTAAGCGCTCTGTCTCAGCTGTTCTTTCTCCCGTTCCCTCCAATTGTTTGTCTGACTGGCGAGAGAGCGAGAGAGAGAGAAAGAGAGAGAGATACTTTGCCAGCTTTCCCCCGCTCTTCCCTCCTTTCGATCAGCGCCTAGCCAGGTTCAGGGTTCGATCCGTTTCAGTTTGACCAATTTTTTCATTGCCATCCCGGTTCCTTTAAAGTTTTTTTATGACTTTTACAGTAACCCTTAAATTTGATTCCTGATTTTCTTAAACCTGGAAAATGGATGCAAAAATTTATTTCCGGGTGTCTAGGGCGCTGTTACTAGCTGATACGATCTGTTTAAAATAGTTTTCTGTGGATTTTAGACTTTAGCAGCCCTTAATTATATTTCTGACTTTCTCAAATCCGAAAATTGGGTGGAAAATTTATTTTTTCCACCCAATCGGCCATTTTTTAATAGCGAATCGATTACGCTATGCGATACCTCGTTTCAGGCGATTTTCGCGCTATTTTGGGCCAGGAAGTCCATTGTAACGTTCGAAAAAGGCCAGACGATCGGCGGGGATACCCGCTGCAAAATTGAGATAACCCCAGTTCGGACTGCCATTTTTAGCTTTTTTTGGGGGGGGGGGGCGATCTTTAGATGTGCAAAAAGGTCGCGCGTACCGTGTTCCGGTACCCCCATCTTCTTAAAAATTAGCGGGTGTTTTTCTCGGATTCTCTCTCTCGTGTTCTCTCTCTCTCTCTCTCTCTCCCTCTCCCTCTCTCTCTCTCGCACCCACTCTAATTCTCTCACTACCGCGCCTCACTAGCCACAGCTGCGGGGTATAGAAATTTGTAAACTCCAGATTTGTCGACCAGTTTCCTGGCGCAATCGATGTTTCATTTTTTACATAGCGTGATCGATTATCCTCAGCCGATTAATAGGAACTAGTCGAGTCGTTGGCTTTTTTCCTGGCGCAGTCGAATCGTATCTGGGCATTCTGTAGCGTAATTGGTTCAGGAAATATCCTAATATCATCGCAGTTTGGGCTTGATTTTCATAGCGTAATCGATTAAGCCATTAATTTTAATGACGTTTAATTACGTATAATTGGTCGTCTCACGTTTCGCTCGTGCTTCTTTAGGTGTCGTAATTTTACCGGTTTGCAAAGTATCTATCGGAACCTATCTATTTTAATAGCGTAATCGATTGGTTTGTGCCGTTTTCGTAGCGTAATCGATTAATTTTTTGCCGATTTTCATAACGTAACCGCTTGTTCTAAGAACCTTTTGATAGCGTAGTCGATCCCCAGCCCACAACGTGTTTCTGCTTGTTTGCCCGGGGCTCGAAAAGTCCACCTGACCCCTCCCCAGCAATTGGCGGTCATTTTTTGCCCTTTAAAAGCCTCTCCCCCTCTCCATCTCAATCTGTTGTTATCAAATGAGCGCAGCCAATCTCTCAGCTGTCCCCTTCAAATTTCCCTTTTTTTTCGTACAGTCCCGAGGCGTACCGGTCCGTTGTTTGTCACCGAAAGTTCTATTTATTAGGTTGGCTCTTCACTTTTGTGATTTACGAAGGATTCGGCGTGTTTTGATGCCTTTAAATGGACTTTTAAAGCGCGAATCCATAGCTTTCTGGCTTTAGTGGCCCTGTAACTGCTGTAGAAATGAATTTTAAAAATTATTGAGACTTTACTGGCCCTTTAAAACGTAAAGATTTTTTACCTAGCGTAATACATTCTCCTAGCTGCCTTTGATAGCGTAACTGATTGTTTGGACTCATTTACCTAGCGTAATCGATTATTTACCCCGGTTTTTCTAGTGTAATTCTTCCAAGCTGTTTTTCATAGCTATCCGATACCGGGGGACATACCTTTTGGGCTTCAACGGGCTTTGATAACAACGTTTCTCAGTTTTTGACCTGATTTTGACTTCAGCGGACCTTTAAAAGGTTCTGTCTATCGTGTTCCTTGATGCTTGTCTTCAATGGCACTTTAAAACGCGATATTTGAAGGAAAAATGGAATGCCTGCCGAATTGTGTGGCGGCGAGGATATGCGGTTATCTAGAAGGTATGATGGCTTTATACCTTGCTCTCTCTCTCTATCGCTCTATCTCTTTCTCGCTCTCTCTCTCTCTCTCCCTCTCGCTCTCTCTAGCTTTATAACGTCGAAATGACTACAAACTACTGTAGTTGCCGTAGCTTACGCGCGTTGTTTACTGTACTTTGTAGTCCAAATTCAGGTCGAAGGCTACAGACTACAATTTCTGGTATCTAAACCTCATTGTAGCGGCGTTTCATTTCCTATAGGGATTTTTTACTCTTCATATGTACTTTGTAGTCTAGTAACGCGTCAGGCTACAGAATACAAATTCTCACGCATCGACCCTTCAATACAATCCCTGTTTTCAAGGCAAAGACGTCCTTCGATTATCCCGTGCCAATAGAAGATGGTGGAATTTTGTGGATGCAAATCGGAAGAAATTGCCAAAAAGGGCGATACAGTTGAATATTGTGAGGAGAAATAGAACAAGGGAAATGGTGAGGGCAGATAGCGATTATAAGCATTTAATGGCTTTAGCAATTCGAGTACTTCTCCGAATTTCACCCGCATACCTGTAATACGAGAGCGCATGATAGACAGGTTGGTAGTTGGTAGCTAATGGTCTCTGCTAGCACGCCCGAAATGCCGAATTTCGAAAAAACCTTGAAATTAAGGGAAATGCCGAATTTCGAGAAAATGCCGAATTTCGAAAATAATGCCGATTTCCCATATTTTCTGATAGATTTTAAAATCAGCAATGAAAAAACGGATTTTTTTTGGAAATGTTATAATACGTTATTTGGTGATCTGTATTTTGTCGGTTTTTTCGGTATTTTGTAGGTATTGACTAGTCGGTATTTTCGGTATTTTCAGGTGAAAAATTGACACTCGATTTTCGATGTCGGCATTTTCGGCATTCCGTTCATACACCTCCCAAAGAATCCCCGCTAGCCTACCTACCAATTCCAGGAAGCCCATCTCCATTTCCTCGTCGAACAACAGGGCGCTCTCCGGCATTATGGCGTCATTTTAAGGTGTCTCGGTCCCTTTAAAATCAAATAATCCCCCCCCCCCGTTAAGAGAATGGAAACCCCTCCCTCATCAGCCACTAAAGGGACCCGATCACTTTGACGTCTCGGATATCAATCAGCTGGCCATGGATGAGGATTATCATGTCGTAATCGAATAGCAAAATTCATTTTCTATGTTGTTTTCAGCAAGTTAAAGCTGTGGAAGATATTGATGCTAATCTGGAGGCGATTTTAATGGAATTGGCGGGAAAAGTGGACTTTAGTCATTTGTTAATGGTGAGAAATTCGTTTTAAAGGGCCGTTGAAGGCAGGAAAGGCTATGGGTTGCTCGGTTTTTCGATAGAAATTCGATGAATCGAGCTTTTAAAGGGCCCTTAAAGGCTGGAAAATGCTATCTATCGCTCGCATATTGATCGATTTTCAACAGAAATTCGAAAAAAATCGAGAAAGTTTCGAAGAATTCGATAAAATTGAAAACACGCCCTTTAAAGGAGGATTGAAGGCTAGGAAATCCTACCTTCAGATCGACCCTACCCCCAGAAACCTCCTGAAATGGTCGGATTGCCTCGTAGCCCTGAAAACGACAATCCACAGACTACAGACTACATTCACCCAGGGCGAAATGCCCTCAGAAATTAATGAATTCTTGTGGAAACTGAAGGGAACGAGCAGTATTAAGGTAAGCCACGCCCCCATTTGCCTTCAAAGGCCCTTCAAAAGATCTTATAATGAATTTTTAGTTGATAGCCGATGCTGGGAATTCTCTCCCTGCTGGAATCCTAAAAATACCTACCGTAATTGGTGCGGAGACGCTGCAGATCGAGTTGGGACATTTCTCGGCGGTTAGTTGATTTTTTTGGAGAAACTAGGGCAAGCCAGCAGAGATTCTTTGGCCGGAAACCCCCAAAAACGCTAAAAATCGGCTTTTTGGGGTTTAAAGCTACTTTTAAGTCTGAGAAATTGAGGAGGCAAGCTAGCAGAGATTCTTTGACCTCGAAATTGGTCAAAAATCCCCAAAAACTTTTCATTTTCAGCGTTCCCAATCTCACAAGGTAATATTGATTGTTTTCTGGAGTCCCACCTCTTCGAATTTTCCTAATTTCCTCTCGTAATCGATTGAAGTCGTACTTTCCAAGAGTGGCGTGTCTCCCTCACTAATAAAATGTTTTTTTTATGAGATTTTGTAAGTTTCGTAAAATCCTTTTCAGGAAGAATCGAATCAACAATTGGAGGCAGAAGAAGATGTGATGGGATTGAGGGGGAAGACGATACACATCAGAGGGGCTAGAATTACACCAAAGGAGTCTAATCGGATTATCAAGGTACTGAAGAGTATGAGAGGCTAGGGCAAGCTAGCAGAAATTCTTTGAGAGCTTGGCAAGCTAGCATCGTTTCTTTGAGAGCATCGCATCTCGGCCTAAAACGCCTCTTTCGATAAAGCAAGCTAGCGGCGGCCATTTGAGCTCAAGGCAAGCTAGCAGAGACCATTGGATTTGCTACATCTCATGAGCAAGCTTGGGAGGGTTTTTTTGGGGGTTTTCCCCCCCTGGGCAAGCTAGCAGAAACCATTTGAGAACGCTGCAGCTCGGAAAGGCAAGCTAGCAGTGGTTCTTGGGGAGCATTACACCTTGCCGATTTCAGCTAGGGCAGGCTAGCAGCGATTATTTGCGCAAAGGCCATTCGCGTCCATAGCGAGCTAGCAGAGACTATTTAAGAGTCCTGACTGCATTAGGGCAATCTAGCAGAGATCCTTTGAGAGCACTGCGTCTCGACCTAAAGCGCTTTTTTGGTTAGGGCAAGCTAGCAGTGATCATTTGCGCCGAAGGCAAACTAGCAAAGACCATTTGAGAGCATTGCATCTCGTCTGAAGCATGCTAGCAAAGCCCATTCCATTCCAGTGCTGGCTCTCCGCGCCCCAGCCCACAAAAATCGACATAAAAATCGCGATCGACTCGGCGAGATTCTCGAAGGAGGAAGTGTTTGACGGGATACAATATGAGGTTTGTGTTACATTTAGATACATTTTGACTACAAAAGACAATTTAATACTTTAGCACTAAGCTACAGATTACGATACAAACTCTAAACCACAAATTCCAGCCCCGCAACGCCCAATATCGGGGCCAATATTTGATCGAGCGGCCGAACGGCAATGGTATTCTTGCGGAACAGGCCGTTGTCTCGTATCTATGCGGAAAGTAAGCTTTTTAAGGGAACCTGACAGCTGGGAAATTGCAGCCAGAAGGTCAGATTCCAGAAAGTTATCTTAAATGCGTATTAAATCATTGTAAAGTCATTATTTGATTTTCCGGGCTTTTTACTGGCTGTAAAAATCGTACCCTGTTGTCAAGATTACGGAACTATACCTTTAAATACCTCTCAATGCCCTATTTTTCAAGCTTCACCCTCAGCACCCAGATCGACACGGAGAAACAGCTGCAGCGGTGGTTCTTCTGAATTTTTTGGGGGTCAAATACCTCGCGTAATGTATTAAATCACTGCCAATCTAACTATGGGTCCATTTTCGGCTCAATCTGTATGCTGGTGACTACAATGGAGTCTGTAGTTTGTAGCCTGTAGTTTCTTTGGATGTACATAAATGGATAAAATCGATTTTTATTGATAAAAACGCACCGGATACATTTTTGGGGGCAAAGAAAAGACAAGTGAAGTGACAAGAATATACGCGTATTTCGACGAGAGAGGGTGAGCATCGAAGGGAGGGCAGACGACAGAGTACAAACTACGCGAAAACACGTACCGACAGACGGGCTACAAATTCCACAGCATCTCTTTTTGAAGAAGAATGGAGCCACGAATATAGACTACAACGCCTGAAGCCTTGGCTACAGACTACAAGCTACAAAAAATTTGAGTGACAGAATGGCAAGACGACAAGCTGCAGGCCACAAGCAAGGCAAGATGATACAGACTACAAAAACATACGCATTGACGGATCGGGAAAGCAGCGGAATACAAACTACAAAATCGACGGCGAGCCTCAGAATACAAAGCTCAAAAACAGCAAATCGACGACGAAAATAAGCAGAATGCCGGCGATGAGGTCGAGCTTCGAGAAACGCTTCAATCCGCCGGGCGGCTGAGGAGCTTGGGGGATCGAGGAGCTGGAAAGGGAGGATGAGACTACAGACTATGATTCTAAAAAGTAGTCGAGGCGAGACTACAAAGTTCAACTCAAGTCAGAAGGCCAATAAGCTAGGCTAGCCTACAACGTTCGGGGCGCCGCCTACAGACTACATAATGCTAGCTACAAACTACAAAGCTTAGAGTCAAAATGGGTTCGTTTTCGGGCCTTTTGTGGCTTGTATCAGGCTTAGTCTTCAGGCTACAAACTATAACCCGACCCACCAATAACACTCGGCCTCCCGTGTATTGATATATCCGCCGGGTTGCGTCAAATTGCACGCCGCCCGCTTCTTGCCGGCCGTCCTGCACCGGAAGTGGCAGCAGCTGTGGAACACCTCACAACTGCTTTGCGCTGCCTGAAATTGTAGATGGGATTCGATTACGCTATGAAATTCAGGCTTTCCGAGTGTCTTGAAATTGTTCTTGAAAGATTTGGCGTTTGGAATAGATTACGCTATGAAAATGGTACTTTCCTCTCCATTTACATCCAGTTTTCGAGCTGTTTCTAACTCCATAAAAATTATTTTCAAGCTAATTCTGGCGTAGTCTTGGGCGTAGATTCAGAATTGCACTTACCCTGGCCAGACAGTCATTAGTGTGGTTCTCGGCCCTTGTTGTGTGGTGAGAGATTAGCGAAATGAAGAGAACACAGCCAACAAATGGCCTCAACTCCATTTCATTCCTCTGGACACTAGCCTGAAAATGTGTGCATTCAATGGTGTAATCGATTAGAGCGTTTTGAGAGCAATTGGAGAGCATTATCGCTTAAACTGATTAATTATTAAACTTGATTTTTTGGGTGATTTTAATATCGTAATCGGATCCAGCGGCGCAAGATTTGCTAGCGTAATTGATTAGAAACTGGTTTTGTTGCGTAATCGATTAACGAGCTTTGAATTTTCATAAAAAATTAATTTCTACGGGTATTTTAATAGCGTAATCGATTAAAATAAATTAATTTTTAGAGTATTTTCATCGTGTACTCGAATGAATAAAAAAAATTGCTTTTTAGAGTGTTTTAATAGCGTAATCCGATGAAATAAATTTATTCTAGCGTTATTTAATAGCGTAATAGAATGAATAAAGAAAATTACTGTTTTTTTAGGGTATTTTAATAGCGTAATTGACTAGCCAGTAGCCCCAGAATGCCCGCTAAAGATAATGGGACGAGCAGACGGTTTGTGTGTATTGAGTTGGGGGAGGGCGGGAGACAGACAGCTCTGGTCCTGCCAAGATCCACACCGGGGCAAATAGACAAATAATTCGACCCAATAATCCGTCTAGAAACCATCCACAATGGTCTCTGCTAGATTGCCCGATTTTTAAAATAATTAAAAGTCGTTAAAACACGAAATCTGGTGAAAACTTCCCTTTAAAGTTTAAAATACCCAATTTTTAGCCTAAAACTACCGTAGCAAATTCGTCGTTTTTATGTTTCTGTGAGAGTTAAAACTCAAAAGCAAAAATTACAGCAAAAAAAACTAATTTAAATACCTTATTTTTGCATGCAGCTACCTGCCCCCCACACGCCCCCCACCTGGTCCACTAGTGTGGAGGGGGTCCCATAGATTTTCCTTTGAGTTGGCCAACAATTGCCCCAGGGCTTAGGCTTAGGCTTAGGCTTAGGCTTAGGCTTAGGCTTAGGCTTAGGCTTAGGCTTAGGCTTAGGCTTAGGCTTAGGCTTAGGCTTAGGCTTAGGCTAGGCTTAGGCTTAGGCTTAGGCTTAGGCTTAGGCTTAGGCTTAGGCTTAGGCTTAGGCTTAGGCTTAGGCTTAGGCTTAGGCTTAGGCTTAGGCTTAGGCTTAGGCTTAGGCTTAGGCTTAGGCTTAGGCTTAGGCTTAGGCTTAGGCTTGGCTTAGGCTTAGGCTTAGGCTTAGGCTTAGGCTTAGGCTTAGGCTTAGGCTTAGGCTTAGGGTTCGAGGTCAACCATGGAAATCGGCCATATCGATAGGCAAACGAAAATCTTAGGTTTTGTTATTTTTTTCTTCGGATTTTTCTCTGGTATTTTTCCGTTAGTTCTAAAAACGTATAAAAAATTTGTAAAAGCTTCTAAAAAATAAAAAAAGGAGCAGAAAAATAGAAAATCGGTGGAGCATGTATTTGTGTGTTTGCTGGGGACTCCTCTCTTCCATGAGAGAGAGAGAGAGAGAGAGAGAGAGAGAGCACGAGCATTGAAATGGGAGAGGGCGCAGGGCGAGAGTGAGAGACGCAGAAAGTTAGAGATACACAAAAAATGAGGGTACAGATGGCCGGGAGGTTCTCCTGTCTTTTTCTATCTCTCTTCTTTTCAGCCGACTGGCACCGCACACGGCCCAGCGGAAATTGCCCTCAAAATGGTAGAGAGAGGAGGGAGGGAAAACGGTATTCCTTCTTCTATAATTTTCTCTCTCCTTCTCTCTCTCTCTTTCTTTCTCCCTCTCTCTCTCTCTCGTTAGCTACCTTGAAATTTTGAACACCACCCCCTTGGAAAAAAGATGAAAATGTCAGTTCCCATCCCGAAAAAATGAAAAATAAGTCCAAAAAAATGTGGAAAACTGTAGAATCAATAGCTTTAGATTTGTAGCCTTCAATGAACTTTTAAAATAAAACAATAGATATAAAACTGCAAAAATAGTTGTGAAAAAATTAAAATCCTCATTTTCCAGCTATTGGATTAACTTTTCCAAGGTATTTAAGTTTTTGTCTAATAGAACTTTAGCTTCTCGACGTTTTCCAAAACTAAATAAACCTTTTTAAAACCAGTTCCATCACGAATTTTCCGATTTAAACTTTCTGCGCGCTATCTAGGGGTTGAGTACGGCGCATTCCACCCTACACCCTCTCTTTGCGCCCTCTACGACATGCCTTACATTTCGGAATTCGCCTCAATCAAAAAAATAACTGGTACGTTTTCGAGTTTAAGGTTATAATTAGTTTAATTATGCCTTTTTCATGCTTAGAAACCTTTAATAAGATGTATCTTATAGTTAGAGGAGTTTCTAGCGTTTCCATGACCTTTTTATGACTAAAAAATGGCAGTAAACTTTCGAAACCTAGCTAAAAAATTCCTAACTCAATTAGAAACTATTTCATGTGTAGTTTTATTATGTTTTCCATGTTTGAAGCTTTTCCGGGCTTTCTTTCCTTTTTGTCTTTCTGTAGAATCTTATTAATTACAGTTTTTCAGGTTCAAACGATGCCCCGCGAGGACAAGAAGCGCAGAAAGCACGACAGCTCTTCGGAAGGTAAATTTGTTTCAGACTTTTTTTGATAGCGTTTTCGTTATAGATGAAGGCCACGGCGGCCGCTCCAAATCTCCAGTCGAGCCGAGGGATAAGCGGTAAAAAACTTGGCTTAAAAATGTCATTTTCTTGATTTTTAGGCGCAAGTCAAAATCGCCCGAAAAAAGTGGAGCGAGTGGAGAAGGAAGGCGGCGGAGGAGCGTAAGTTTATTAATACATACCTTGCCTTGTAATTAATTAGTTTATCTGTATACAAGCTATTTTATTGACGTATTTGAATCAAAAATAAAAAAGTAGCTTTCCTTTCAAAACTTGTTGAATTTTGTAGTACATTTTCTGTAGTTTTTAGAGCTTATTAATTTGAATACAGTCGATTTTTCTAGTGACTTCTCGCTGTCGATCCAGGAGACGAACAAGCTGCGCGCCCAGCTCGGCCTCGCCCCGCTTGAAGAGGACACAGGACCGAAAGTGAGAGACGCAGAAGATGGCGAGCTCACCGACAAGATTATCAACGAAGAGGGATTCGAGTTCAGGCATCGAAAGGTGAGCTGGGGAGAGCAGGCAGAGATTCTTGAGGAACTTGAGACCAAGGAGACCTAGTCGAGAAAATTAAGACATTCTTAGGCAAACCAGCAGAGATGGCGCAGGAAATTGCGAAGTTTTGAGGAAAACTAGCAGATCCTGGAGGAAATTCAGGAGGACAACCTGCAGAGATTTCCAGGAATTCCTAGGCAAGCTAGCAGAGCTCCCTGCGGAAATTCCGGAGGACAGGAAAAGGAAATCATAAGGAATCTAGCGGAGGCTTTGGAGGATGTTAGGGATAACTAGCAGAGCTTCTTTGAAAAAAGCTGGCGGGGAGCATTCAAGAATTTCTTTTTCAGGCAGACAACTGGGGAGACAAGAAGCGCGACGACGCCATCAAGGAGAAAATCGAGGTGGCGAAGAAGAAGCGAGAGGTCTACTCAAAAGTGCTCAAATCAAGAGGGCTCGCTGATGATAGCTCAGATGACGAGGCTTCGGGATGGGTAAGACATTTCAAGCTTATTGAAGAAGTTAATAAATTAATTTAAACCAGGGTTGAAAAACCGCTTCGCGGCTTTTCAACCCTGCCCCCGTCTTCTCCAATGATATTTTTGGCTCCGCATAATTTTCCCGGATCGGATGACGAAAATGAAAAATGCTCTTGCCGTCCCTTTATATGAGCTACCGCCACTTCCGGTGCATGCTAATTTGATCCTAACAAAGTGGGGTGTCCGATTTTCCATGAAAAACTTAATTTTACTGTCGAAAACATCATATTTTGTAAAATCTAATATTCGTGCAGCCGTTCCCAGGCCATTACGCACCGAATGACGCTACGAACATACCCCTAAGTACTTCCCTTCTTGAGATACGACTGGAACAACCTGACGGAAGTTGCATGCAAATGCACACACACACACACAGGAACTATTTTTTTATATATAGTAGGATTTGTTTTTAATGGCCACAATCATTCCAAATAATCGATTCAGGTGACAAAACAGCGACAGCTTGATGAAGAGAGAAAGAAGGCGGAAGAGAGGGCGAAGGCGCTCGACGCGCTGGACGAGGAGCTGGCCGATTCCGGCGCTATCGAGGGCCAGAGCAAGAAAAAGAAGACGGGCAAGAAGGTGAGAAATTGCGCTTGAAAAGCTAAGAACTCTTTATTCTGAAAATCCCAAGTTTATGATGAAAAATCTGAGATTTTTTGGCTTTTTTAAAAGTCAATTTTTGATTCTCAAAGCTTTTCAATCCTTTTTTCCATAATTTTGTAACCTTTCCGACACGGTTTAGGCACATAAAAATGCCGAATCGATAAAAATGCTTGTTTTACGACATATCCGAGCTTGAATTTCGAGTTTTACATTAGATTTTTTGCTTTTTAAAGTTTTAAATTATCTATTTCTCTAAATTTTAGCGTACTTTCATTGCCTCCTTTTTCCAGAAGCCAGCGGGCAACGCGATGACGGGCGGCCTGACCATCGGCCACAGCAAAGACGAATTCCTCTCCGGCCAGGAGCAGATTCTCGTCCTCGAGGACAAGGGTACGTTTATCGATTTAAAAAATCGATGATGTAATTAATACTAGATTTTCAAGCTTTTTTTATCTCTTTTTCTATCGATTTTATCTACTGTTTTAGGCGTTCTCGACGACGGCGAGGAGGTGCTCGTCAACCCGAACATTGTCGACAAAGAGCGCACGACGCGAAATGTCGACCTGAAGAAGAAGAGAGGCGCCAGAGAGTATGGAGACGACTTGGACGAGTTCGGAAATGTAGGCAAATATTTGCAAATTAAGAATTTTATTTTTTTAGCCAAAAGAGGGCATGCTGTCGAAATATGATGAGATGGACGGGCCGGAGAGGACGACGTTTCGATTGGATGATAGGGGAGAGGTGAGAAATTGAAGGACAGCTAGCGGTAAACCTTGCGG